CAAGTTGATTAGCAGTATCCTTCTTCTCAGTGAAAATAATGGTACGACCACCACTGAAAACAACAAACATTCACTGTCAGTAACAATCGAAGTAGAATGAAGTAAGAAAAAAAATGAAAACACTAATGGAGATAACCAACCTGCTGTAGCAGCGGATGACATCAGGGATCAGTTGAGGTATAGCCGATGCAGAACAAGGAAGGACGATGTGTCTTACATTGGTACTAGCCTTCATTTTCTCATTACCAACAAGATCTATGGTTTTCTTGGACGGTTTAAGGAACTTTGAAGCAATCTACAGGAGCACAGCAACAATTCAAGTCAACCCATGGAGAAGAATCATGAGTCAAATTACTGGCAGCTACTAAAATTATCAATCTGCAGAGGATTAGAATTAACTAACATGTTTCACCCATTCAGGCAGGGTAGCACTGAACAGAAGTGTCTGGACTTTAGTAACATCCTCCACTTTTCCTGTAAGTAATATTCATACAGTTAATACCCATTTCCCATCAGAACAAACATTAAAACCCTAGGTGCTGCTGAAGTTCAATTCCAGCCTATACAATTCTGCTAACTAGTACTAAGAACATCTACAAACAATAGTACCTAGGATAAGCTCCACATCCTCTACAAAACCCATTCTGAGCATTTCATCGGCTTCATCAAGGACACGGAATGCCAAGGAGCTAAAATTGATATTGCCCCTCTCAATGTGATCCTGTGGAATATTTGCATTCAATTGATTTTTAGTAAGAAAATCCAAAAAAATCACAACTTTTTCCAAGACTGCAGTAGCTTGGCTATACCTTAATGCGCCCTGGTGTTCCAACAACGATATCGACTCCTCTTTTAAGACTGGATTCTTGCGGGTTGTAAGGAGAACCGCCATATAAACAACAAGATGTCAAGCCCAATGACTCTCCATAGACCTTGAAATCCTCAAACACCTGGGAGAAAACAGAAGCAGAGGAATCAGCAAAGCACACCATTACAAGAGGTAAGATCACTGCCAGCAAGTGCCATTTAATGTTACCTGAACTGCCAACTCCCTCGTCGGTAGAAGAACAAGAACACTCGGTGGCCGGCCGTATCCCATCTTCCTGGCAGCTTTCGCACGTCCATTAGTTAGAGACTCCAATAGGGGCAATACAAATGCAAGCGTCTTTCCCTGCAGTAATGCACCATTCCAATTAATCAGTACAGAAATTAACCTCACAAGCAAGCTTAGAAAAGCCATGTTCGGCAATGGGCAGTCCTAGCAATTTGAATGATGAAAAAGGTCGAAATTTTCACCTGACCGGTGCGAGCCCTGCCGACCAAATCACAACCGTCGAGGACATCATTGAACGTTCTCGCCTGAATAGGGAACAACGCCTCAATCCCCCTGGACTTGAGCTTCATCCTCAGCGGCTCCGATATCCGGAAATTGGTCACGGCGTTGGGATCCTCCGGCTTCATCTCCTCGACCTCACCGTCGTCATCTTCCCCATCCTCTTCTTCTTCCCCGCCACTGGAAACCTTCGTCTTCTTACTCTTCTTGCTCTTCTTCTCCGACTTCAAATTCACCGGCTCGCCCAGCTCCGAGCTCGTCTCACTCCTCTCCTCATCCTCGCTCCCCATCTCCGCAGCTTTCCTCTTCTTCTTCTCCTTCTTTTTCTTCTCCTTCTTCTCCGAATACCCGTCCTCTTCCTGATCAGAGACCTTCGAGCTCTTCTTCTTACTCTTCACCGACTCGGACTCGATGCCATCGAGAGCGATCTTCTTCATTTTCTTCTCCTTCTTGTCTGCGGACTCCGGTGACGGGTTCACCATGGCAATCGAAGGCATGACACAGCAGAAGGAAGGAAGGAATGAACTATATTGTCGGCGAGAGGTGAAGGAATTAAAAGTGGAGGCGGGCTGATGGGGGCGCGCCTCTAGCGTTTTCTCCTGCTGCCAACGAGAGGGTTTCGTGGCAGAAAATTGCTGGAGCAGGAGAGAATCGCAAAAGGAGGAAGAAGGGGTTAGGGGTTTTGATTTTATGCTTTTGCGGTGGGAGGTTTGGGCCGTCGGATGGTCAAACCCTAGAAGTTCGCGTTAGTTGCCGTTAGATCTATTGGGCTTTTTGTTTTTTTTTTTTTTTCCCCAGAACACGTTCCGTTTGGCGCAATGAGATATAAATATCTGACTTTAGCGCCTCCACGTCAAGAGATCGGGGCCCCACCGGCCGAGACCAGCAGGCATAAAGGAAACAGCCCAAGTAGGATATTCGGGTTAATGATCTGGCAGGTCCTCTAATTTACAGATTTTGACAATCTAGGGCATTAATTTGATTTTTGTCAAAAGATGTCCCCTAAGAGTTGTAGTAAACTGCACACATGCCTTGCAATGGCCTATGGGCTATGAGTATTTCTGTATTTGCATCCGACCGCCCTAAATTGCTGTATTGAAACCATCTTTAATCGATTGTCGAGAAAAATAATGTTGCTAATTCATTCAATAGAAGGGGTCCTAATGACAGCAGAAGAGAATTGTCCTATCGCAAATCTTTATTTAAAGTTTGATAAAGGATTGGTATGGGGCGAGGAGAGTATGTGATGAAAGCTAGTGACAGACGAAAAGTGGTTTGTCAAACTTCAGAAACAAAGCTATGATTAGTTATTCTTTGTTGTTGAGCAGACAAACTCATAGATGAATCAAGTTGAGTTGGGTTTCATTATTGTTGTTTTGATGTCCAAAATAGTTGTCTTGGTTTAGCAGAGAGGTATGATTGCCTTGGGGTAGCGAGGAAGAAATAGTCACCTTATTCTTGAGTTTGTATCATAGGCAACACATAGGCAGCAAAAAAAAAGAGGATTGTTATTTACCGCCCGTAGAATTACTAATTGCCGCCCACAAATTTTAAGTAAATAACATTTTTGCCCTCTCTTTAATTGTCACCCACCACAATCAAACCTTACATATTGTAAAAAAAAAAAACCTTACGTGCGACAGTTTCCTCCTTTGTCGGGAATCCCTGCCGATCACAAATCCCCACCAACGACGATCAAACCCCAAAACATCTCTCGGAACGTCGGCTCCCTTCATCGTCTTCCCATCATCGTCATTTGCGTTGTTAACGCCAGCCACCGGGCCGTCCGACGCCGGTGGGTGGTCCCCGTCCGACATCGCCGGGCGGACCCCGTCCGACGTGAGGAGGCGGACCACCAATGCTCCTCGTTGGCGATTCTGCCGGCGATGGAATTGGAACCAATAAGAATTAATTAATGCACAAAGAGATTAAATCCCAATCCTCTATTCTTCATCAACGAAAATTCAGAAACAGGGAAATTAGTTAGAGTATTAATCTTATATAAATTAATTTTAAAGAGGGAAATAGATACAAATTCCTTTGAGAATTAATTAGAGGATTAATCACCCTTTAATATTGCGGAAATCACGCCCCATTTTAGTAAGATTTAAAGGTATACGAAATTATTTTCAATTGTTAATATTGGAAATAATCATTATCCGTTTTTTTAGGAAGTTTTGTTCGGCTCTAATTAGTTAATTAGGGAAATAGAATTAAGGATTTAATTAGGGAATGAATTCTCGGTTGTTAATTAGGAAAATGGATTTTCGGTTTTAATTAAGAAGATAATCAATAATTTTGAAAAAAGGAAATGATTAGATCACTCAAATATTAATAAATAAATAATAATTGCTTAAAATTCTGCCGTAAGATGGATTAGGAGGGAATTGGCATTTTTTTCGGATGCCAATTATATGTGTTAATTAAGGGAAGACGTGTTAGTTAAGGAAATTTTTTACTGCTGTCAATTAGGAAAATGGAATTGGACGTGTTAATTAAAACTATTTCCATGTTATCTCATTTAATTATTTCCATCATTATCGATGGTTGTTAATTAGGGAAACAAATATATATGTGGGTTAATTAGAGAATTTTGGTATTTAATTCGAGAATTTGTGGGAAAGAAATAGTCACCGGCGACAGGTTTGACGCCGGAAATCGTGAGAAAGACACCGGTCCGACGTCGGAGGGCGGACCCCGTCCGACGTCGGAGGGCGGACCCCGTCCGACGCCGGCGATCAGATCCCGTCCGACGTGAGAGGGCGGACCCCGTCCGTCGCCGACGAGTGGACCCCGTCCGACGTGAGAGGGCGGACCCCGTCCGATTGCATGCGTCGGACCACCCATCTCCGTCTGTACGCCGGCGACGACCACACTTCCCCGTCTGATTGTCGAACCACCCATCCTCGCCGGGAATTGCAGGGAAAAAAGAGAGGAAGGTGAGGCTTAATCGTAGTCGGGATTTGAGGAAGAAAAAAGGGGAAGATGAGGCCGGCAATTCCATTTTTAGAGACCTGGCCGATAAGTTCCTTTCTCCTCAACGACGGCAGCCAAATTCGGCCAACGATTCCAAGACACGGCGGCGGCAGCAAAAGGTTTGGGTATTTTTAATTTATCGAAGGGCAAAATAGACTTTTTATTTTTAACTACGGGCGGCAAATAGTAAATATACGGGCGGCAAATAACTATTTAGAAAAAAAATACATCATATGCTCGAGTTCGCGTCTTAGCCAACACATGGCAATGTAGGCATCTTCGTCCCTCCTACCATAGCACATTTTGCTTATTGGTGTGCAATGGGTTGGTTTGTATTGGACCGCAATGGATCAAATCGACACTTTGATCAGACAATACGAAATCAAATATAACATGGTATAGTCTGTGGTCTCGTGAATTTAACAAATACTGAAGCAAAATTGACCTAATTGAGATTTGGAACGAATTGAATGCACTGTTGGTCAGGTCTTTAATCCTAAAATGTCTTTCCCTATTGAATCGCGATTCACGTGAATATTCTCCGGTCCAAACAACTGCACACCCGAGCTTTGGTAATGACGTCCACATCTTTGTGTTTGTCTCCACAGGTCTTTCATGGGGGAGTCTGTGAAAATGTTGTTGGAGTCCAAGTTGAGAAAAGACATGACCAAAATCCCACGCCTTGCTCTCATGGCACCAAAGCTTTGCTCTCAATGGCATTCAACACACACTCCCGGGCGCCCCGATTACAGATACACTTATTAAAAAAGCTCTGCAGTAAATTTCAGGGTGGCATGGCCTGGCCTAGCTCCCGGTTCAACAAATCAGGAAAAGCAAGGGAACTAGGGAAGATTCTTATCAGAGGGACTACAAACAATCTAGAATCTCCAGATGAAATACATTCTACTTAAAGTTTTACAGTTATCAGTTATCACAGCAATCCTACTTACAATCCAGTACAAATACATACTCCAACATAGCTCTCCAACCCAAATTCATCTTCCTGCAACTCTTTAGCAATTAACACCGACACACAAGCGTGTGTTAACTCTACTCCCTCATTCATAGCACAGCACTGCCAAAAAGCCACAGAATCACGCAAACAAACCATCCTGGAATGCGCCTTGAACTTCCAGATGCAGCATTGCCACAAAAATTGAACCCGTACCAAAGATCACCTGGAATGTAGGTGTTGTAGTTGAAGGTCGCGGCCCTTGAATTGTAGCCATAGATCTTCACACTCCCTGGCTTCCATCCGTCCGGTCCACTTCTGTAGAGGTAAACATAACAGATCTGGTATGCACAGGGTCCGGATATCTGAAATGTGTCGGAGGAGCATCTCTCAAATGCCCTCGAAGCTGGATTATCGATCCTTGGAGCATAAATCTGGAATTGACACAAAAAAGAACATCCATTAAGTTACCTATCTTGATTTTATTAAGTTGTTAGTTCCAAGCAGAATCTTTGCCTAAACAAAGCTTCTACATGTCTCTATTTACAGTTTACCAGACATATAGTACTGCACTATTTTCATTCACTCTACGGTAAATGCTTGCTCGTTTCCAGCAAGTAGCCTATCTTGGTTCTATTAAGCTGCTAGTTCCAAGCAGTAGCTCTGCTTGCACAAAGCTTAGCAGTCTAATAGTATCCATTCCCTCCACTTTCCCATCCACAGTCTCAATAAATTTAAGATCCTACACTTTCTTCGTTCACTCTTCGGTATACGAACCATGGTTGCTAGTTTTCAAAAGCAGTAACCAGCCATCGATGCTTCTGGGGGACCAGAATGAGAAAATTCCATAACCCCAGCTTGAAATCAAAGGTTTTACATTGGCAGCGGTGAGTAGCAGAGAGCAGACAAACATACAAGAATAAAGAGAAACAATCAATTTAACAATTTGAGGGAATCCTTCTCACGTGAACCCTAATCAAAGCTAAGAGAACATTACAAAGAAACTCTACACTAATAAAATATCATGAGAGTGAATCTCCAGGTTCAAAGAAGCTTCAGAATCACTGTAATGACTCCGCTGCCAGTGATCTTAGAACTACTACTACCGCCAATTCGTTTTCACTCACAGACATAATCAGTGGCGATTCATTGCTGAATGAATCACATGCAGATGCTCTAATAATCAAGATAACAGTACACCAGAAACTAATCGTTCCTTCTCCATCCAGTTCATCAATTCGAGGATGAAAAATCGAATTTGATTCAGAAAAGAAAATCAAAGAGAGAATAGACAGAGTGTTCCCTGACCTGATTCCCATAGGCGTCCCCAAAGGCGATACTAATTTGATCGCGAGTGTACACCGGCGACGAACAGCTCGTGCTTATAACCACCGTGTAAGAACAGCTCCCTACGTTCTTTTACCCCGCATTTTGGGCGACACAACAGGAAGTTCAATAAGCCTCAAGACTCGGCGAAAACGACTTAAATAGTTCAGCAGAACAAAAGAGAGGAGAGCGAGCGGTACCTGAATCAGGCTGAGATTGAACGAGTCGATCGCATGAGGCTTGACGGTGGCGGTGGATTCGGCGGCCGAGCAACCTGAGACGAAGACGATGAAGATGGAGAGGAGAAGGAGAGAAGAAAGAGACGTGGTCATTTTCTTTTGCTGCGTCGATTGAAAATGAGTGAGCGACTACGACTGTCGAGACGGTGTGGAGTTTTTGACGCAGAGGAATGTGCTAACGTGTAACAAGGAGAGTTAAGCGACGAGGAGGAGACTTGTGGAAGAAAATAGGTAGAGAAGTAAAGACGAGGCGTAAAGCTGGACCTTAGCCCATTACGCCAAAAAAATGCGTTTTGTGCTGCAATGTTTAATGGGCCTTTCAGCTGTATGCTAATGGGTTTCATAAAACAAAAGCCTCATTGGGCGCAGCTATAGGATCTCTCTCTCTCTCTTTTTAACAAAGGTAATCAGATATATTGAATCGAATAATAGATCAGTATACCCTGGAATTGTACACGGGCGCTGGATTGGGCCGGCTCGACACAGGCACGCTTCGGGTCCATTTATTTCGTGCCGTGCTTGGCACGGCCCGTCATTTTTCGTGTCGTGTCATGCAAGCCCATTTGTTAATTTTGCTAGGCCCGGCTCAGGCCCGGGCACGGTTCGAATCGTGTCGTGCCTATTCGTGCTCGTGTCATGCTCGTATTCCTGTTTAATGAAAAGGACGAAAACAGAAGAGAGAATGAAAAATAATGTGAAAATTGGACGGAGGAAGATAGTATTAATCGATAATGTTTGAGAAAAGTAACAAATCATGGGGAAAAGAAAATTGGAAGTATAGCGAGTGTGATTTGACTTTGTTTAATTCTCTATCGATTTTTACTTATGTTAGTAATTACGTATATATCTTTATGACACTTCTAACAACAAAAAATAATTATTTTTCTACTTGTGTTTTGTAATATTTGAACCTATAATTCTTTTTATATTTATTTTCTATCAAATAAATATGATTTTCGTGCCATGTTCGTTCTTATACTCAATAAAGTCTCGAAAATATTAGGCCCGACACGGCCACTTATATACCGTGTCGTGCCCGTGCTCGTGCCCGTGCCGATGAAGTTTAGGCCCGACACGACCCATAAATTATTCATGTTCGTGCTGGGCTAGCTCATTTATTTCGTGCCCCGTGCTCGTGTCGTGGTCTAACCGTGTCGTGTCGTGCTAGCCCATGGGCGGCACGGCCCGGTGCCCATGTATACCTGGAATTTATCCAAGGTAAGAAAATCAAAGAATCGAAAAGTAGTCGGGTACAATGAGAGGACATTTCTAGCCACCAAGTGGGCTACCCTATTACTACTCCGACCTACAAAATGCACAGTGAGCCCCACATGATTAGCCAAGCATCGCACGACCTCCTCGAGTATAGCTCCTACCCGGTTGTCTCGAGTATCCGCCTGATTGATCTTTATCACTGATGACCTTTGCATCACTTTCTAGTCGTGCATCCGTAAACCCATTCTCCAGATACCAGAAAATAGCTTCACGGAGAACTAAGAGCTCAACGATCATAGGATTCCTGGAACTGAATGGCTTTTGCCAAAAGGATCAATCCATACTGGTCCTTGATTAAAATGCCCCCGGAAGAGTGAGAACCATGCTTAATTGCCCCATCCCACATGCATGTAACCGAATTTGAGTGACCCCCTCTATCGAAAATAAGCTGAGGGTTGGGGACCCTTTACACACGGTCAGTAGGCAAACTAATCCACTCATGGTATTGTTGATGAAATTGTCGCATCAAAACTGGGATCCCAAATTGTTTGCCCTCAAAGACAACCCAATTATGTGATTGTCAGATTCTCCAAAGGATCGCGGCAACCACCATAAATAAGTGTGGTTGATGGATAAGGCTCATCAACTTCATTAAGAATAGTGGAAACCGGAAAGTATGACGCGGCAGCCCTTGGCCAAAATAATCAAGGCCTGAATGATCCCACGGAGCTCTCGCTACTGGACACTACAGGAATAAATGTTTCATCATTTCTGACTCAGCCCAGCAAAACGGACAACGGGGAATGACGTCAACCTTCTTCTCGGTTAGGGCTTCCATCGTGGGCAGGACACGATGGAAGATCTGCCAAAAAAGCACCTTCAGTTTAGGCGGAATATGGGCATCCCACAAGCATATCAAGGCTTGCCCTATCCATCCAACTAGCCATAGATCTCCATCGCCCAGTCTGCTTATCTAGCAAGACTGCAAGATGATAGGCCGATTTGAGAGTGAAAAGCCTGTCTCCCGTGTCATGTCAGTTCAACCTATCCTCCACATCCTGACAAGGTAGAGGGATGATTTTGATTGCACAACATGTATTCAGGTCAAACCACTGTGCAAGCTTGGTATCACACTATCGTCCTTCACCCTATCAAATCACCTTTTGCACCCGCAGCTCATCATCAGCAGGTAGAACCTGGGGATTATTCTAAATGACGAATTCGGTATAAAACACATAGGCTGGTGATATTGTATTCTTCTACAAAATTCACCGACCGTTAGGTACATATGTACATAACAAGATGTTATACCGAATGGTATAACAAGATGTTATACCGAATGGTATAACATGATCAAACTAGCTATTATATTGATCGATTTTTCAATTTATGGTTGATATTATTTCGTTCTATCATCGATTGAATAAAATATTTTATTCAGGTACAACTAAACACGAATGTGTTATATTGTCTGTCACACTATTCAGTACCATTTCACAAATGATTGTATAACATGGGCATCGAGATCGGAGACACACAAAGAAACACAAGTGGAGATGGAACGAGAAACTTGTAAACGTACTACATGTTTGAATTCGAACTTTGCTATGGTGCTCACAGAACCTGGACACCTTATAATTGCCGAATTGCATGCTAACACTTTGCAACCATCGGATGAACACGATGACATTTCACTAATATCGCAACATTCTGTTAGAAATATAGGTACTATTTTGTACTTTGTACATATTAATGACGTGAGTAGGAGCTAGGGTTCTCGGTTGGCTAGTATATATACTTGTGTTGGCAGCCGACCTCTGTAAAAATTATGGGAATAAGATTCAATCTCTGCCTTGTGCCGTGGACTAGTCTTGATGATCATCATCAAGGAAACCACGTAAATCTCGTGTCTCTCGATCTCTCGTATTTGTGTTTGTGTTGATTATCATGGTATCAGAGCCTCAGGATTCTTGATCGTGCCTGGGTATCTTCGTGTGTTCGTGATTGTGTCTAGCTGCTTCGGTGTGTTCGTGCGTGCAGCTTGGTATTTGGGTGGCTTGTGACTCTCGGTATTGGACTGGCTTTCTTGGTTTTGGTTGTTTCCTTGTGCGCTGCCATAGCCTTGTGTTTGCGTGGACTGTGATTCTTGGAATTGGCCTGCTTTTAGCTCTTAGTTCTTCTCCTGTGTGTTGCGCCTTGTATTTTCTGGTGAAGATGGACAGCTCAAAGCCTGATGTGGTGACCGTACGGTTTAATGGTAAGAATTTCGCGCTCTGGGAGTTTCAATTCCGGCTTCACATGCAAGGTCGTCGTTTGTTTTCCTTTTTGGATGGTACTGCTCAGCCGCCGGATACGGATGCTCCTCCCAAGGTGCGCGAAGACTGGGCTGCGAACAATGCAGCTGTGATGTCGAGTCTGCTTGGCTCGATGGAACCCGGGATTGCCTTGAGTCTTAGGGGCCTTCCCACCGCCGCTGCAATTTGGAAACACTTGGCTGATCTGTACTCTAAAGCAAGTGCCTCTAGGAAATATGATATTGAGCTTGATTTGGCGACTTTGAAACAGGGAGAGCTTGATGTAAGCTCCTATTAACAGGAGGCAATGACTCTTTGGACCGAGCATGATTTGGTTACTAGTTCCTCGGTTTCGGCAGCTGCGTCCACAGAAGTCCTTCAAGAAAGGGCTAGCTCACGTGTTATGCATTTTCTTATGAATCTCCATGCTGAATTCGAGGGGATTCGGGCATCGCTGCTACATCGGGGTATCTCTACAATAGAGGATGTCTTACCTGAGCTCCTTCGTGAAGAAACACACCTGAAGAGTCAGGCCAAGCTTGATATACATGCATCGGATTCTCATTCTGCCTTCACTGTGAATCCTGGTCGCCCTCAGTTTGCTCGTACTCCCTCGGGGGAGATTATTCTGTCATTTTTGCAAAGAGCCGGGTCACATTCAGTTTCACTGCAAGAAAAGGAACACGTGCAACTACTGCAAGCTTGAGGGCCACCTCATCGCGAATTGTCCGACGTTGGCACGTCGAGGACGTCAACGCCATGGTGTTGGGCCGCCTCGTCCTCGTGGGGGATATCAGCCTCGTCCCTCGGGAGGTGCTTATGCCATGATTGCGGCTCCACCTTCTTCCGGGCTGTTCGCGGAGGATGTTCGCCGCCTGGTTCAGGAGGCATTGAAGGAGGCTTTCGTTGCGGGTATGAAATATTCCTCTTCTTTTCGTCCTTGGTATTTAGATTCTGCTGCCTACAATCACATGACCAGTGATCGTCAGCAGTTTACACAGCTTGTTCCGTCTAGATCTCTTATTGCTCTCCAGGCGGCAGATGGATCCTCTATGTCTGTTACAGAAACGGGTTGTGTTGATTAGGCTAATATCTCACTTCCTAATACTTTATTTGTTCCGAAGCTTGTTCCAAATCTAGTCTCAGTTGGTCAGTTAGCCGAGGCTGGTTGTCGGGTTCTGTTTGATGAAACTGGGTGTGTTGTGCAGGACACGAAAACAGGGAGGGAGATAGGTCGGGGGAGTAAGACAGGCCGGGTCTATTTGCTGGATCACATCTCGCGGCTGGGAGAAGTGGCGGTTAATGATGGTGGATCGAGCTCTGTCGGATTTGGTGTGCAATCTTTAGTTGGTCATGTTGACAATTGTCATGTTATTTCTTGTTCTGATTTTTCAGCACAATTGTCGAACTGGGATCTGTGGCATTTTCGATTGGGTCATCCCAATTCTGTGAGACTTCGTACTATGTTTCAAAATCATTGGTTATCAAGATTTTTGTCGGGGAATAATTCACATGAGTGTGTTCATTGTCTACAAGCTAAGATTTCACAAAAGTCATTTACTGCAAGTGATACTGTGTATACTGAGCCCTTCGAGCTAGTTCATACTGACTTATGGGGTCCGTCGCCTGTGACCTTGAGGTTGGGATTTTGATATTTCGCCTTGTTTGTAGATCAGGTAACTCGCTATACATGGGTGTA